CGGTCTTCACTGACTCCGAGGCCTCTAGGCGACTAATCGTAGCTTCTTTCCTCCGCGTCTGGCGCCGGCGCCTCCCGCCTGCCCGCTCTTCCCTCCGCCCCGCGACCCGAACCCCAACCCCTGACCCCGGCGGCGGGAAACGCGCCGCGATTCAAAACCAGTGCAGCTTTATTGGCGCAGGAAGCGGACACTCATTGTCCCGCCCACCCTTTGCTTCCCGCCAAAACGCCCGCGGCGCATGCCCAGCCAGCCAGTCAGCCAGAGCAGCGCGCTCTCCCGACGGCCCCCGCGCACATTTCGGTCTACCAGCCGCGCGCGCGTACTGGCGCTGGTGAAAGGGACTGGCTTGAGGATTTGACATGGCGCGTTTTGATGTCGTCACCGGAAGCCAAGACCATAGAGAAACGCGGCCCGGAGATACGCGCAGGCGGATTGGAGAGTGGCTGGCGAAGCGAGCAGCTGCCACGGGCCCCTGGTGGGCTGGCGGGTGGTGCAGCCCCGTGCCCGAAACGAGGCTCTGAACACCGGAGGTTCGATCCCCGACATACCTCTCCGCCCCCCATCTCCTGGGCAGAGCTGGAGAGTTGGCCTCGCGACGTCGCACCTGCTTTCTGAGCACCTTTTGTGTGACAGGCCCAAGACTGGGCGCCAAGGCGGCCCTCGTGTGGCGCCCGCTCCACGCAGCTGACTGTCCCGACGATGAGTGAGAAGCCGAACAACGAAGTAAAATGAAGGGAGACGCGGGCGGAGATGCGGAGGAGTTGGGGTGGGGTAGGAATCCCCTGGAAGAAGAGGTGGGATAAAAAGGTGACACGGGGTAGGGAAGGAGATGGTAGTGGGCCCAGGGGGATAGAAAGGAGAAGCCTGTTGGGGTGGGGCTAGGTGCCGGTGGGCTGAGGGCCTGGGTGTTGGAAAAATGATCCTGGGGAAGGGGATGTCAGGCCCCGGGATCTGGTTCTCAGTCTGGCTGTTGTCCACACAGGCCTCAGAGCCCATGGAGGTCTGCAGCCAGCGTTGCAGCAATGTCCTGGACAGCCCAGAAGCCCCATTACCCCGGGAGAAGCAGGAGGAGAAAGAGGGGCCTAGGACTGTTGCAGGCTCTGGTCCTCAACCTGGGCTTTACAGTTACATCAGGGATGACTTGTTCACCTCAGAGATCTTCAAGCTAGAGCTGCAGAATGTGCCTCGACATGCCAGCTTCAGCGATGTCCGACGTTTTTTGGGCCGCTTTGGCCTGCAGCCCCATAAAACAAAACTCTTTGGGCAACCACCCTGTGCCTTTGTGACCTTTCGCAGTGCTGCTGAGCGGGACAAGGCCCTTCGGGTGCTACATGGAGCCCTCTGGAAAGGCCGCCCACTCAGCGTGCGCCTGGCCCGCCCCAAGGCGGACCCCATGGCCAGGAAGAGGCAGCAAGAGGGTGAGCCACCAGCAATGCGAGTTGCTGATGTGGTGACCCCTTTTTGGACAGTGCCCTATGCTGAGCAGCTGGAGCGAAAGCGGCTGGAGTGTGAGCAGGTGCTGCAAAGGCTTGCCAAGTGAGTTTGGGGCAGGATACTCTCAGCACCAGAACTCAACTCTGCTGCCTGCCCTATGAGGGATATACACCATGGGATCTGAGCTGTCAGGGTGGTGGCCAGTAAGTCTCCTGTGATTATCAGTGGCAATAGTGAGGTCTCAAGGGAGGGACCCAGGAGCTTGGGCTTTTGGGAAGTATTCCAATGTGGGTGGGGGCAGTGGACTGACTGAAACCACAGATTACTTCATCCTGCAGGGAAATTGGAAACACCAATCGCACACTGCTGCCCTGGCTGCTCACACAGAGGCACAAGCACAACAAGGCCTGCTGCCCACTGGAGGGGGTCAGGCCATCACCCCAGCAGGTCAGGCGGGACTGGGATGGCCACAAACCCCTATCCTGTGTTGGGGGCAGGGATTGCAGTTCTGTGGACCAAACCCAGGGCCTCAAGAATGTTGGGCAAGCACCATATCACTGAGCAACATACACCCCAGCCCATCCTGTTTTTTTTAAAAACTTTCTTTTTGCTCTTCTCTCTCTTCCTATTTTGTTTCTTTCTGGTTTCTTTGGTTTCATCATGTGACCAGTAGTTGTCTTGTTTTTCAACTGCCAGCCTTTGTGGGGAAGTTGGGGTATTGCTCTTGCTGCTGTGTTTGTTACACAAGTGCTGGATAGCCAGGGTAAGGTCTGGCTGCTTCTTTCTGCCTTCTCTCCCCACAGACTGAGTATCGTAATAAGTGTGAGTTTCTGGTTGGCGTTGGGGTGGATGGGGAAGATAACACTGTTGGCTGCCGACTTGGCAAATACAAGGGTGGGACGTGTGCTGTAGCAGCCCCCTTTGACACAGTGCATATCCCTGAAGCCACGAAACGGGTGGTGAAATCCTTCCAGGAATTCATACGGTGAGATTCTGGGACTGGGCCCCTGGGAAGTTCTGAGAGCACCTGGGAGCAGAGGGTGTGGGCCTTCCCCAGGGTTCTGGAGTGCCTGCTGTTGGGAAACATGAGGAGAGGATGAGGGGAGAGATGACCAGGGGGAGAAAGCAGGAATGCTGTCCCTCTGGTCTTGGTTAGCAAACTTTGGGTACTTATGGCTATTCATGGCTCCCACAGGTCCACCCCATACTCTGCATATGACCCTGAGACATATGCAGGCCACTGGAAGCAGCTGACTGTACGCACCAGCCGCCGCGGCCAGGCCATGGCCATTGCCTACTTCCACCCCCAGGTCTCAGGCGGGTGGCTCTGGTGGGGGAGGGTCTCTGAGAATGGCCGTGGCACAACCTGATGGGGCTTTGAACCACCTACTCTAGAAACTGAGCCATGAGGAACTGGCAGGGCTGAAGGCCTCCCTGGTACAACATTTCATGGAGGGACCAGGCAGGACCAGCGGGGTGACCTGTCTTTACTTCGTGGAGGAGGGACAGCGGTGAGGAGCCCAGGTGGGAACAAGAGGGAAGCTTGCAGGAGCAGGTGACCCTGATACACTTGCCTCTCCACACACAGAAAGACTCCCAGCCAGGAGGGCCTACTCTTGGAGCATGTGGCTGGGGACCGGTGTATTCAGGAGGACCTGCTTGGGCTGACCTTCCAGATCTCTCCTCATGCCTTTTTCCAGGTAGGCGTGGCACAAGGACATAAGAATGGGAGGCCTGACACAACATCAGAGCATGGTGGAAACAATGTGGACTAGATGGCAATTAAAAACTAGCTAGTCTTGCAGATATCTGGGAAAAGCATCTAGGTGGGGGAGCCACAGGAAGACTGGGGTGGGAAAGTGGTTGTTGGTCCCTGATTCGATACTTCTCATCACAGAGAGGTTGAGGAACAGGCTCATTTTACTACCATAGGACACTACCCGGGCCTTGGCAAGGAGGAGGCCTCAGTTGTCTTTGGGCTAGAGAGTAGTTTTACCCTCATTCTTGCTGACATTAGAGAGACCTTTTAGGAGGTATGGAGACTTAGAATAGGTAAAGACCCTATTTTGGAGTCAGGCTTGGCAGGACCTGCTGGAAGGACAGAGGTTGGGCTGGGAGATAAATCAGGGACTCTAGGGCTCTTTTGTGAATTCCCATAGGAGGTAGATGTACGCTCTACTGACATGGCGAAGGAAGCCATTGGAGGCTGTAGTCTGGGGAGCTGGATGAGGTTGAGAGGGCCATACAAATCCATTAATTAGAGAAATGCTTCTTATAATTGGGGGTATGGTTAGGGTTGTGCACATTGGCACAAATTTGGTTTTTAAAGTCAAGAGACTGGGTAAGATTATTGCCATGATGCCAGCATGTCACTGAGACCCTGAAAGTCTCAGCAGGATGGAGCTGGGAACCTAGGTGTGTGGGGTGGTAGGCCTGCCTCTGGGGTCAGGGACTGCCCCAGGAGGGGAGGCCTGCACTGAGTGTGCCATGGCCAACTTCCAGGTGAACACACCTGCAGCTGAGGTGCTCTACACAGTCATCCAGGATTGGGCCCAGCTGGACAAGGAAAGTACAGTGTTGGATGTGTGCTGTGGCACCGGTACCATTGGCCTGGCCCTTGCCTGGGTAAGCCCTCCTGACCCAGCTGAGGTTGCCCTCTCACCTCTCCACCCTCCCCCATTACTTCCACTGACTTTTACAACTTGAAGGCTCAGTCCTTTCCCAGGTCCCAGACCCAGTCTGATTCAGCTGCCCACTTTGCCTCAGACAGGGAGCCATCATCTGGCCCTTTTTCCATTTCAGAAGGTAAAGAGAGTCATTGGGATTGAGCTATGCCAGGAGGCTGTGGAGGATGCCCGGGTGAATGCCCATGCCAATGGTGAGAGTCTGTAGCCCATGCAGCAGGCTGGTGGTCCTGGTTATACCTCAACCATTGTACCTATAACATATTCCATGGCTCTGAGGACCTGTTGGGGGGCAGAGGGGCCCCAAAGGAACCTGTAGACCCACATGCTCCAGTTCTGAAGGTACCCAATAGGACAGAAGAAACTCTTTGGCCAGTGCTTTCCAAAGAGCCTTATGGTGCCACTCAGGGCTGGACCCATGGGGGAGATTATCCCAGGCCCACTGACAACAATGGTGCATCTTCAGAGCTAAGCAACGTTGAATTCCACTGCGGGAGGGCCGAGGACCTGGTGCCCACTCTGGTGTGCAGACTGGCCTCCCAACAACTTGTGGCCATCTTGGACCCACCGCGAGCTGGCCTGCGTGAGTGACATACACTTGGGGAGATGGCAGGTGGTCTGCCAGGCTGTGCAGTTTAAGGTCTGGGGACCTAGCCAATATCTGTGCCTTCTCAGATTCCAAGGTGATCCTTGCCATCCGAAGAGCTGAGAACCTCAAGCGGCTCCTGTATGTCTCATGCAACCCCCGGGCAGCCATGGGCAATTTTGTGGAGTGAGTGTTAAAACAGGGATCTGGGGTGGTCTGGGGCCCAGGACTCTTCTGCCTCCCCCAGGAGTCCTTGGCTAGTCCTGTAGGACTGACTTTGGCACTCCCTTCCCACTACAGCCTCTGCAGGGCCCCATCTAACCGGGTCAAGGGCATCCCCTTCCGACCAGTCAAAGCTGTGGCAGTGGACCTGTTCCCACAAACCCCACACTGTGAGATGCTCATTCTGTTCGAGAGGGTGGAACACCCTAATAGTACAGAAGTCCTAGAGCACCAAGGCCCTCTAGCCCAGCCCTCACAAGAGCCCGCTAATGATACCACACTGGAAATTGGGGCCTCCTTTTCATCGTAGGCCCTGGAAACTGCAGGGTCCAGCTCTTCCAGAACAGGGCTTATCATGGTGGCAGAAGCTAGAGGGCTTCCCGCAGTCTTGCTTGTCTCAAGATGCTTAGAAGAGCAATCACAGGGCTCAAGGCCTAGTTGCCTTGCCAGGACCAACATGACCATGATATGGCTCAGAAGACAGCTGGACTTCTATGGCCTGTCCATCCCTCACCCCATCCTTCTGGAACAGCCAAGCTATGAGGACCAGAATAAACAACTGCTGAACTCAGGGTGTTTGTGAAGAACTTTGGTAAACAGGGACTCTCTGCCCCATTCTGTGCGTGCAAAGGGACAGGGTGAGTGAAATATCTCAACCCTATCCAAGCTGCCTGGGAATTTCTGCCCTTCATTTTAGTCTGACCCTTGAGCCTCTATGACACCCTACCAGGCCTGGATATCAGGCTGGGGTTAATTTGCATGGCTTGCCAAAAGAGCTCACCAAGGCCCTGAACAGTGCAAAGCTTGCTGTTTAATAGGATGTTAGGTTTTATGCTTGGAGAGGCAGAGACGCACAAGCCTCAAGACCAAGCATCAACAGGATGTTCCAGAGTATGCAAGCAAGCAGAAGGATGTCCCTGCACCTGAGGAAAAGATCCTAATTGCTCCCAAAATCAGCCTGACCCTCAACCCAGGAAGAAGGCCACCTCCATACAGTGACCAAAGGCTATATATACCAGGTTGCTGCTAACCCCTAACAAGGACAGATGTGTCTACTAGTAGGCGCTGCAGCCCACAAGGGGCTGGAGTCCGGCCAATTGAGGGTCCACAATGTCATTCCACCCCCATGCCCAGAAGAAATAAATACCAGCCATTCCCTTTTAGAGTTTGCTTTATGTGTTCAGACCATTGAGGCTCACTCAAACAGCTGTGGCCTAGTGCACAGAAGCAGCATTGGCACAGGCCCCACAGTACAGCTGTGTGCATACAGGGCTTGTGCCCATGTGTAGCAGAGGGAGGACACTAGAGACCACAACTGTGTGGCAGCACCTGCTGTGGTGGCATCTGGGACAGACCAGCCCAGTGAAGCTCACTGTCTTCTAGGCTAATGTGTGCACAAAGCTTTGGTTCACAATGGTCAATCTGGCCGTTTCAAGGGCAACAGTCATGGTCAAATGACTATTCACAGCTGCAGACAGGGAGGCAAGACAGAAGCAAGTGTCTAATTACAGCAACTTGATTTTGTTTTTTGTTTTTTCCCCCCTCAAGGTCAACACAAAAGTCAACCTCAGTCACACAGGTGTGAGCGAGGGATACAGTGTAGGCAACTCAGATGACATTCTGTCTCCAGGACAAATGCCTTCTTGACTGCAGGGATATGATAGGAGACATGTCATGGAATATGAGGATACAGCCCAGTGCTGGGCTCTGGTGTCCAGTGAGCACATGACCCCTGAACAGGTGCTAAGGACAGTTCAATTGCTGGCTACCACCACCAGGGTCCTGAACACACACATGCTAATTCCGACAGAAAAATCTACCCTCAGAGGCTACCCCGTGAGCACAGGTGACAAGTTGAAAAGCCAGCTGGACACTGGACCTGGCTATACAGGGGAACTGCCCTTGAAACCTGAGGAGGCCACTGTCACTAAAAGTTGAGTCAGCCACCGTGTATTCAGCTAGCCCTTGGCTTACTGCACTAAAGGCCTTTGTTTCTTCAAAGAAGTCCGCTTGCTTAAATGCATGATTTCAAATCTACTTTCTACTTTCACTGTAAAAGTTTCTTTGCAAATGCTAAAATATCATAAAAGCTTTAAAAATTGATGGGTGGACAGATGGATTCAACTGTGCAAAAATCTTTGTAAAAAAACCTGTTGCCAGATGCCAACAAAGGCAGGGGCCTCAGTGTCCAGGGAGGCAAGTGTTAGGACATTAAGACAAGATCAAAGAGTAGACCAAGCCCAGTAGCAGGCCAAGTTGATGCAGACTGGGTTTGGTGTCCTCACTGGCAACTTCAGTCACAAATAGAGAATAGCTACCTTGGTGATTTGCCCGCAATCTCTGAAAAATAGTTCAATGCTAAAATCGTTTATTTTAAACCAAAATGGTCTGAAATATTCCTAACTCTTATAACTTTTTCAGAGAAAAAGGGAAAACACAGAAGGCAGGTGGTAAGGGACAGGGTGCCATGTGCACCTTCTAACCAGGTCCCTGCAGTGGCTCAGGGCACAGGGGCCACCTGGCATCAGGAGCCAGCCACAGCCACAGGACTCAGCTGTCCTTACTCAACTGTCATCTGAGTATCATTTCTTGTCAGTGTGTGTTATATACTAAAATTCATGAAAACCTTCATTAAAAGCCTATAATAGCAGGTGCATATGAGCAGTCTGCAGCAGTCCAAATTATTAGCTTCCACTTGGGTAATCATTTGAAATTGATCCTTAAACACATCCATTCAGGCCTGGGAGCAGCTTCCAGAAGAGAACTGCTGCTTGACTGTTGTGCTGTAAGGCCATGGCTGTCCCCATGTACCAGAGCCTCTACCCTCTGGTTTGGTTCCAGACACTGGCTGCAGGGAAGTTAACTTAGGTTGGTGGCCTGAGGCTGCAGAGTGAGCGGTGGGTGGCTGGTATTCTCCCAGGCAGTGCTGCTGATGGCCCCTTGCCCCAGCCCAGGCTGCCTCCCTCACACGTCCACAGTGCAAAGGGGTTCACCACCAGGCTGGGCAGATGCCACAATAGACATCTTAGGCTTTTTCCTAGTCTCCTCCTGGAAGAACAAAAGGTCAAGGATATGAATGAGGTGGGCTTAGGAGAGAGGCAGGGTGAGGCCAGCAGACCAGCATCAGGAGACCCCTGGACTCCAGAGGGCACAGGTGCTTGCAGTGCTTAGCTATATGGAAGGCCTGAGGAGCAAGCTAGATTGGGACTGAAGAGGATCTCCCAGGGACACTATGTGCTATCACTTTCCTGGCAATCAGGACACATACCCAAAAGTGAAGAACTTGAATCAGGTGACATCTTAGAAGCCAGGATTCACCCCTTCCTTTAGAGCGAGTCTCTCTCATCCCAGCTACAGGTATGGGTACTTGCAGGGGCAAAATAAGGCACAGATGACATGGGCAATGTTTACCCTTTCCTCAGCTAACCTCTTCATTTGCTTTGCTTGCCCAATGTCACCATGTCCTGGGCTTATTGCCCTTGGGCCCCAAAGCCTATTTCCCAACTAGGAGCAGGCTTGTCAGCCCTGCTAGTTTCAGGCAGACAAGGTTTAACCCCACCTGAGAGCAAAAGCAAGGCATCTCCCAGACCACAAGCAGCAGACATCTAGTCCTAAGGATTTGTACATGGGTGCAGGCTGATGCCAGAGCTGAAAGAACTGCAACCTGGAAGGTCTAGGTAGGGTTGTAAATGATCACATGAACAGTGCCTGGGGACAGGGAACACCACTATCTGCCTGAGGGGAGGGGGGAGCTTCACCAGGACAAAGCCCTACCCAGGTTCAGTTTTCTGTGACCCTTTGGAGTTCCTCAGGAGACCTAAGCTATTGTACCATCCCTGTCATCAAACACCCAGCTCCAAATGAAGACCCAGTCAGTCCTCAGAGGCTGAGCCCTTCACCCACTGGCATGCTGGCCTACTGATTCTCTACCTTAACTAAAAATAAAGCTATTTTACAAAAGTATGACATTGAAGCTCAAAGAAAAGCAAGTCTCATCTGGAAGGAGGATTCAGACATTTCCAGAGTGTCAGAGGTAAGGAATGGGTTCATAGTATCTAATGTTCCTCCATAGCTGCCCTAGGGATGCTACTGGCTCAGTGACTGCTTGCAGGAGTAAATGAGGGGACAGTAGTTGTGGATAGTGCTCACCCTCTCCTCAGCAAGTCTCTTCATTTCCTCCTGGAGCTTGCTCAGTATGTGCAGGTTGGGCTTGTTCTTCTTGGCATACTGTTGCAGCTCAATCACGCTCTTGTCAGACGTCTCCTAGGGAATAACAAAGCCTTGCTCTTAGGGCCCATAACCTTTCCACCACTAGCAGCAGTTTGTCTCATGATCCCTTGAGGTAGAAGCACTAGGATCTGTCAGGCACATAGCAGCCAGGAGCTGTGGCCATGCAACTACACATTGACACCTGCCTATGATTGCACCTGGCCTACTGACAGCAGCAGAGAATGTGAAGCAGCAGTTCATAGCTCCCTGAACATGCCACCCCACTGGACAGAAAGCTACACTTCCTACAATGGGCAGAACAGGAAGTCAGGAGCTTGCTATGCCAGAAGCCTTCAGAACAGTGACCATATCATAGATGCAGCCTGTGGAGATAGCACACTGCCAGCCAGATACATCCCCAGAACCGAGCTCTCTATATTCCCACAACTTGCACAGTAGGCAGAACAAGCTGTCTTGAGAGGCTATGGCCAAGGACACCTCTTGTGCCTTGAGATGCCAGAGCTCCTCCTGCACTGTGTCAGCTCCTCCTGGCTGTGTCAGGCTGGGCCTACTGTCTTCCAGCTGAGAAAGGTTTCCACCCACAGCCAAAGCAATGCTTGCCTTCTTTCTCTCAGTCTTAGCCCAGGACTACGCACAGCAAAGGCAAATTTGACCTACATTTGAACTCATTTACCTAAAATGTCTACCCTGGGGTGGGAAGTATAGCTCAGTGATAGAGCACTTGCCTAGCATAAGAGGCCCTAGGTTTGAGCCTTAGCACCACAGGTGGTGGGTAGGGGGGATACAAAATAATCAGATATCCTTTAGGTCATTAATGCATCCATGTAATTCTTGGACTCTGCCTTGTCATGACCAGAGCAAGGACAGGACCAAGACCATGGTCTCAAGGATCTTGTGTTGTTCCCGGCTGCTAGTTCAGTCCAAGGAAGGGTGGCATGAAGACTCAACACAACCCTCAGGGTCATCCTACCTGCAGCCACCAACCCACTACCCCTTAACTAAATGGGATTCTGACAACCCTGATGGTTTCTGTAAACATTAGGTATAAAAATAGAAAATGTCAACACTCACCTCCCAGTACCTCCCTCCACCCCTTAGGTTTGGATACTGTTTTAAATTTTAAAATCTTGGCAAAAACTAAAGAAACGAAACACATGACACATACATTCTTCAGGCTGCTGGAAGTCCTGTACTAAGCACAAGAGGACACTGCCCTGGGAAGGGCTGAGGGCCTGGCTCTCAATCCTTCACAAACCTCAGCAATGGGGCATGGTCTACATCTTATGCCTGGCCTTGTAGCCTTGTCTCTCACTTCAGTCACCTCCCCCAAAGCCACAAAGCGAGGCTCAGCCCATGTCCCCTGAAGATGGCTTAGATGACCCTACCTCCTACCCATATGGTCACAGGCATGACACAGCAGAGAGGCAGTCATGAGCAAGAGCAGTGCTGCCAAACTGTGACCCTCGGACAGCAAGACCCCAGATGCAAGCTCTAGGGCATGAGGCAAAGAAGCAGAGGAATTACCCTAGGATCTGACAAGGGGTCCAGTTACCTGTTTGACCATTTTGCTGCTTTCACGGCCATACATGCGAAGTAAAGACCCCCAGTTCTTGACATGTGGGTGCAGCAGCTGAAGGATTTTCTGAGAAGCTAACTGTTTCCCAACTCTCTTATTCTTACCTGTTAAGAGGAAGAGCAAAGGTAAAGAGAGGGAATCTGGATGTGAAACACCCAGTGTTGACGTGGCCACTTCACACAAATAGAAGCCCCTGATCCTCCACACTTCCCCAAGGACCAGCTGGAGCATTCTATAGGACAGAGGCAATGTTCCACTTCTGGGTACCCAAGAGTCACAGTCCTAGGACCAAGCAATAGCTGCTACCTAGAGTATGACCTTAGACAATCCAGGTAAGGGTGTGTACCCAGGCCAGGCAGCTGAGAAGTCTCCATCCTCTACCCTACTCCCTGACAAACAGATTAGCAGCAACCTACCTTGTAAGCATGCTGCTCCTTGAGGGAAGGTGCTATGGGGTGGAGATCCAGCAAAAGGCCTTTCCTAGGCCTTCCAGACAGATCAGTGATATTTCCCAACAGCTTAACCAAGTGGCTGATGCCTACCCAGCCTGCTCAGGGGCCTGTCTCAGTGGTGACTACATTCTGCAGGGTACAGGGAAATCCTAGAGGCAGCAGGGCACACATGGGTTTAAATGTGGTTCTGTCATTTCTCAGACCCACTGTATACTACTTCTAATCCATATAAAACTAATTTGTGTTTATAGTAGTTTTCTTTTACAATTAGTTAGATGTTTTTATTTTGCTTTGTTTGGTTTTTAAGATGGGATCTCACTATTTTGCCCAGACTGGTCTCAAAACTCATGGCCTCAAGCAATTCTACCCGATCAGTCTCCCTAGTAACTAAGACTACAGGGGTATGTCACCATGCCCAGCTTAAATTAGCTTTGAAAACTGGTTACTTCAGAACCAGGCATAATGACATATGCCTACAATTCCAGAAACTCAGGAGTCTAAGGCAGGAGGACTATAAGTTCAAGACAACTTGATGACAGCCTGTATCAAAATAAAATATGAAAAGAGCTGGGGATGAAGCTCAGTGGTAGAAGGCCCTTGGGAATCCAATGCCCAATACCACACCAAAAAAAAAAAAAAAAACAGATGCAAAGTGAGCAGACTACAGGTAGTACCCACAGAGATCAGAATACAGTGGGGTAGGTGGTAGCCAGCTAGTAGATGGGAACCTCTGCCTGCTCCTCCAAGAGTTTGGTCCCTTCTCCCACCACATGGATAGGGGCTAGATGAAGAGAGGAGTAGAAAAGGAAGAAGACACACAGGCAGGACAGCCACCAGTCCAACCTCAGGCAAATATGTGCAGCCAACACGAACAGCTGTGGCTCAGGACTGATATTCAGGGCAATGACAGAGGGGCCAAGCCATGTAGAAAGGAGGATAAGACCACACAATCTGGCATCATTCCCCAGCAGTTATCTGAAAACATATCAGCCTATGTGGGAAGCAGGGGAAAAAAGGCCTTACACCATCCGCGCACTGTGTGCTTGCCACATGCCATGACATATTCACTCTTCTGGTTTTTCCCAGGAACCACTTCAAACTTGATGGATGTGTCACCCATTCCATGGTTTCTTCAAGAGAAAACAAAGACAACAAGGGATATCAACTGTAGGGACAAAATGGCAGCTTCTGGGGAGGAGAGCTCTTTGGAAAAGCCTGTTAAAGACTGAAGAAAAGGCCAACCTCTCCCCAAAGTGTTTCCTGACGAAAAGGAACTTCTCCATATACCTAATTTAATCCCATGGGGCTCTGCCTGACATCCATGGGTAAAGGGTTCCTGTGAACCCAGGGAAAACTGGCAGTGACTTCACCCCAAATAGCCAGCAAGGACATGGGATGCTCAGGAGCTCCCATGACCTGATTGAGGACAAAAAGTACCTCCCACCCTACCTTTTAAGGCACTCGTGGAGAATCTGATATGGAGACAACAGCCCAGCTTTGCTGGTCAACTCGTAGACCCGCGAGTCCTCGATACTGATGTGGTTAAAATACTACAACACAAAGCAGACGCTCATTAGTCCTGGCCAAACCCACAGCCTCAGAGAGGTGGCCCCCTGCTATTAATTTCCCCCAGGTGCTTAGATGTCTTTTCTTTTTACCTCACTTACACCCGCTACAGACCTGCTAGAAATCTGCCGGTTGTGGAGGACCAGTGACTCTATACCTCACTGACCAGCTGCCCATGTCCTCAGCCACTCCCCTAAGCATGGCATGACAAAAAGCCTGGGCACACAGAAGATCTGGAACATCTCTTCTCAATCTGATTCTGATTAACTATGAACAACTCAACAGAAATTAATGATAAACCATCTTCTAAGAGATCCTTTAACATTCTCATAATTCAGACTGTAGGAGAAAGGAAGCCAGACATTAAATCTGGCTCTCCGAGAGCTAAAGTTTCACAAAGACACCAGTCTGAGAAAGCCAGGAAGGGTTGGGCCTGGCCTGGCTGTAGTCTCCAACTATGTCGTTGCCCTGCCTACACAATCAGATCAATTAAATCAAAGAACAGAAAAGGCAAGAAGGGTTAACAGGGAACCAAGATAACCACCAAAGGGAAAAAGCAAAATTCTGCACAACAAGTCATAGGGAAACAGGCAACTATGAAGTGTATAAGACCAGCCGTGCACTGGCCACAGGGACAGAGTTCACACCTGACCTTGCCTTTCCTTTCCTCACTCTCTGGCTAATTCAGTATCAGATGAATGGAAGATGCTGTCCAGCCCATTCTGGCACACAGACCACCTATCTAGAAGGAGCTGCAGTAACAAAGCAAAGAAATGCACCAATGAGAACAAATATGCCAATAATAGGCACAAGATTCTATCACCTAGTGGCATCATGGCCATCTTAATGTAGCACAACTGATGTTCGTACAACAAAATCACCTAATGACACATTCCTCAGAATGTGTCCCCATTAACACATGACTGAACAGCAAAGTGGGTGGCTTTAAAAAAACAGAAGTTTATTGTCTAACAATTCTGAAGGTCAAAAGTTAAAAAAAAAATTCAAAGTCAGTTCTTTCTGGAGGCTCTAGGGAATCCTTCCTTGACTCTTCCAGCTTCTGGTGGTCCAGGCTCCCTGGGCTTGTAGCAGCACCAGTCCAATCTTCACTTGGTGTTTTCTCCCTCTCTTATTTCTTTTAAGAATGCCAGTCACAACCACCCTGCCACACTATGACCACATGTTAACTAACAATATCTGAAACCCTGTTTGCAAATAAGGTCACATTCTGAAGTATTAGAGATCAGCATTAAGTGCTAATGGCTTTTTAGAGGACACAATGCAACCCAGAAGAGGGTCCCCCTGAGATTCTGAGCAAAGGTTAGCTTTACCCACTTGACAATAAACACACATGAAGAGATTAAATCAGACAAGAAACAGTGGGGCTCACCAGCCAGAGGGAGTCCACCAGGAGCCCACAGCCCTTACAGAGCTTCTCCTGGGAGTCCACCAGGAGCCCACAGCCCTTACAGAGGCCTACAGCCATGGATGGGAGAAATACTTGGGGCCTGAAGACACATGAAGAAGCTGAGACTCAACATAAATGCTTTGCTGTGCAGGACCCAAGGTGTGCCAGAACTTCTCCGCACTGACATAGGCTCCTCTGCCCTCGCTCTATTCTGGCGAGGAAGCAGACTCACCATGGACTGCACGGAGGAAGGAAGATGCATCTCTGATGAGGACTGTAGAGGATGGTGAGCAGGAACTCCAACTGCCATGGTTTGGCTGTTGTCTTCAAACAGGTTGCCAAGAGACGCCTCTACTCTCAAGTGCCCGCATCAGTGTGGGAAAGTCACTCACCAGGACGTCAGGCCCTGGAACCATCAGCAAGGGCTGGCAAGGTAGCCAACCAATTAGCAATGTGTGGTGCTCTCAGCTGTAAGGACACACGGTCTAACCACAGGTCAGCACCTGGGCTGTGGGGCCAGTGTCAGGGCTGGGCAGATAGGCTGCCTACCCTCTGGCTCCAAACTCCTCCCTGGCAGAGCCCAGCCAGCATGTATGCTAGAGAGCACAAGCTCAGAAGCACAAAGACATGAATCTCTGTAAAAGAGCCATGCCATGAAAATACAGAGCAAGTTGCCACAGGCCACACATGTTGAGGGTTAACCTGCCAAGGAAGTGTGGAAGCTCCAGCTGGGGAAAGAAGACAAAATTGCAGAAGTGACCTATAGACAATCACTGTTGACAAACAGCCTAGGACAAACCTAACTGATCAGTGCTTTGTGGACAGTAAAGAACCATGAGGAACACATGGATAGCCTAATGCCCATTAACTCCTGTCTAGACAACACAGACCAGCACTTTAAAGGTCACAAGCCATCAAAATAGTCTGATTACCCCCGTAGCTATCCAAGAAATCAACTCTGTAATTACAAACTTTCCCACAAGGAAAACACCAGGTCCAGAGGGCTTCTTTGGTGATGACTACTGAGTAAGAAAAAAACAACAATTCTATTAAAAAAACTCAAGGAGGATACTTCCCAACTTATTTTATGAGACATTAATACCATGACATTACCACCAGGCAACGACTGTGGGGAGACAGAGACACACACACACACACACAAACACACATACTATAAAATATCTCTCACAAACACAGATGCGAAAATTCTAAATAGTACCTTCTTAGCAAATGGAAACCATTCACATATAAAAAGGGATACATAAACATACATAAACATAGATATATATGGGATATAGACTGTGTGTGTGTGTGTGTGTGTGTGTGTGTGTGTGTGTGTGTGTAGTACCCAAGTAGGACTTATCCTAAGAATTTTTTTTTTAAAAAATCACATAATTAACTATATTGACAAATTAAGAAGAAAATCAAATGATGAAGTCAATAAATACAGAAGGCTTTTGGATGGGGGCTGGGGATGTGGCTCAAGCAGTAGCGCGCTCGCCTGGCATGCGTGCGGCCTGGGTTCGATCCTCAGCACCACGTACAAACAGAAGGCTTTTGGAAAAAATCCAACAAACTTTCATGATAAAAACAGGAACAAACCAGGAACAGAGAGGACCTTTTTCAAACTGATAAGGGGCATCTACAAAAAACCCATAGCTCACATTACATTCAACAGTGAGAGGTAGATGCTTCCCGAGATGAGGAACAGGATATCTGTTTTCATTTCTATTCAATAATGGATTTAGCCAGGGCAGTTAAGTAAGAACATGAAAAAAAAAAAAGATATCCAGGTTGGAAAGACAGAAACCACACCATCTTTACTTATAGTTTACATGACTCGATACACAGAAAATTTTTAAAAATCTACAGAAAAACTACCAAACCTAATAAGTTAGCAAAATGACAGGACACAAGGTCAATATATAAATAATAAATTTTCTCTACATTCTAGCAATGAATAATTGGAATTGAAACCAAAGTACTACTCATAATAGTGCCAAAACACGAAATAAGCAAAATTTATGTGCTGAAACTACCAACCATTGATGAAAAACATCAAAGAACATGTAAATAAATGGAGAGTTAGACTATTTATAATTTAGAAGACTCAATGTTGTTGGGATATCAATTCTCCGCAAATTAAATCTACAGATTCAGCACTAGTCCAATCAAAAAATTTAATAGGAATCAACATACTGTTTTTAAATCCTATTAGCAGATTTTAATAAAAAGACAAAGGAGCTGAAGTAGCCAAAAATATTCTTTAAAAAGAACAAAGCCTGAGGATTTATACCTTCTAAAGATATCAAGGTACTGTGGTTTCGCTGAAGGGACAGACACACAGTTCACGGCCACCAAATTAGTAAGAAAGGCACCAGGGCAATCCAAGTTAACCACAATTGTCATCTGGCCCAGCAATCCCATCGTAGGTATTTACCTAAGAGAAATCAATCCCAAGTATCACACTAACCTTATGGCAGCCTCAAAGCAACTTTATTGCCAATGAAACACTGGAAATTCATCAGTGACCCTCATGTAAGAATGGAGTGACACTGTAGCTCAACCATCTGGTAGCGACTACTCAGCAGAACAAAAGGCCTAAAGACATATGCATCAACATGGATCAATATGCCAAGTCACAGAAGCCAGGTTCAAAGGCTATCACTGGCTCCACTGATAGGAAATTCTGGAACTGGCAAAACTATAGAGAAAATTCTAGTACCCTTCAGCAGATACAAATTAGGAGTTTGACTACAAAGAGACAGCTTAAGAGAGTATGTGGGAAGCCAGGGAAATATTCTATATTGGCAAAACTCCTAGAATTACACCAAAAAGTGTATTTAACTTTATAATAATAAAAAAGTAAGTTGAAAAAATTAAAGAGACATATCTGGTCACTAATACCTAAATCTCAAACAACCATGAATCATGTTGCTAACACACAGCTAGCAACAAAATGTGATGAAGGGATCAAAAGTTTCACGAAAAGAAGTGGTGACAATTCTGTTCCTCAAGTTTCCTCATTTTAATCATGCAATTCACACACTTTATCCCAAGGTTCTCTACTCTGTGGTGGCACAGGGACTCAGGCCCTCCTGGTAGACTGAGATCACTGCACCTGACAAGCATGACCTGAGGGCTTCCAAAGCAGCCCTGCCCCAGGCCACTCAAGGAGAGGATACTATTCCAAAACCTGCCAAGAAGGCCTGGAGAAGAGTTGCACAATTCTGACCATTCCAACCTAAAGAGCCTCAGAAGCATGAAAAACTGCCAATCCCAGGTGACTTTCTAGAAACAGAATGGCCATCCCTTTCAGTCAGGCATGTACTATTCAAATATCCACCCTGCTGAAGGAAAAGCTACTTTCTCCTCTGACAAGAGAAATATGAAACTAAAGAGACACATACATGCAATAAGTTAGAAGGATCAAAAAACTTCTCCAGAACACCTGGAACACTATATAAAAGTATCTCTTATACCAAGGTGTGGTATAATAAAAATACGTCTTGTATGGTGTCCAATCCTGAGCACAGAGCTCCTAAAACCTGAGGTATTCCAGAGTGATGCCAGTAT